ATTATTTATATATTACAATTACGAATAAATTATTCCAAGAAGGGGGACAGGGCGAAACGACCAACGTCTACAAAAAAAAAGAACAAAACAATCCAAATGTTGTGGAACGAGAATTATGAAAAAGAAATTAAAAAAAAAAATAGTAATCATTATAACAATTAGAAGTAAAGAACACTGAACGACGACATCTAAGAGCAAGAGCACTGACAATTTTAATTGCTATAACGAGAGATCTCCATCTAATGTCCCTGTCTTTTATCATTTAAAAGCATTCATATTTACTCATTGGAATTGGTAGCGATATCAAAATACTGTATATAAGTCAATTTCAAGCCGATTACTGTACTTACGATTAGATCAAATTAAGAAGCCATACAAATTGCATCTATGTCAAACTAACTTACACTTAAACAGATGCATTGGGTGATATGCATGAAGTGAAGTGGGTGTATAGTCTCCCATTATTAAAATAGCCACTCCCTCCAAATGCATAAAAATATGTTTTGGACCTACTCTCTCCTTGAATGTAAATAAACAGTAACTGCTAGAACACTTTTAACAACAATCCAAATGCAGGTTTCACACAATAATATAAAGCAAATACATTGTGAAACTATGAAATAATCTTAGATGCGAGTTTAATTTTATGTTTTTTTTTTGAATAAATTGATTGAATTATGCAGAGATAAAATCGGATATATAGTACTTAGTACAAGTTGAACTAAGTCGAAGAAATAATGCTCGTAAAAACTATGTATATACCATGATAAATTGATTTACCTACCCTGATACGTCAAGGAAAGAAATTCAAACAAGTTCCTGCTACATAACATTTTACCATTTCAAATATTTAATTATATTTAACTATTAGGTGAATAATAAGAATTAATGAATTACAATATTAGTACTAATAGAAAAAATATTTAGTTATTTCCTACTACAATATTTAACTCTTCTTAGGGAATTACAGATTATCAACTATAACTGAGAATGAAACCTTACGCCATTTTGGACAGTACCTAATAACACTATCACTAATAATTTTAACTCTTCTTAAACTCTCATTTAAATTATTATTATTCTTATTTCCTTCAGGTACGCATATTGTACTTAAAAAATTTCACTCAGCTATTCGATATCTTATTATATATGTAAGGACAACGACTAAAGCTTCACTAAATATTCTTACGTAACAGTTGAAGTTACCAACTAAAACAAAACTCAAACAATACTTAAAAAAAAATGGAATAATACCGACTGAAGTTAAATAAAAATTGACATCGCTACCTTTGAATTACACAAGACAGAGACATTGACGCCTGCTTCTCGTGAATATTAATTTGTTAAAGGGCAATCAGTTAACAGTTACGAACATTGACAATATAATCAGCTGCGCATGGGTGTACCAATGGCAGTCCGTGTGCCATTTAAGTGCATAATTCATAAAAGTTAGCAACATACGCAATATTTGCAGCGTGTCCCAAAAGAAAAGAATTATGTGTATGTAAATGACCGGTGCCCCAAATCAAAAGTTATAAAATCTATACGGATAATTATGACCTTCACGTATCCATCAAGCAGAGGTACATAGATTTTTTTTAGATTAGATGTCATAGACAAAAAGATGCTTCGTAACACTTTAGATTTGAAATAATAAAAAAAGAGCATCGGTCATAAATATTATGAATGACACAAACGGGAGTAAATTACGAGTGAGAGGAGTTAAAGAGACGAAATATTAGATGGGAGAAAAGGAAGAATTTGTTTATATATATATATATATATATGTCTGTCTA